CTCAGGTGAGGTTAAGTGATTTTAGTTCTCCAAGACCTAGTTCCTTATCTTTACAGAGCAGATAGTGTTGTCTTCTTCTCTTGGTTGATGAAGTGTGAACAGCACAAGCCAAGTGCTTAGCACCTGTGGGAGAGTGAAAAGTGCTCCTCAGTCCTACTCAGCTCAGTTGTAGCTAAAATTAGCTTGTCTTTTGCAATAGATAACATAAATAAATGGTTTATAGATAAATAAATAGATAACATAAATAAATAGTTGATGAGCAACCCAAGCAGTTGGTTCAGTGTGTGCGGTGCCCAGGTTCAACCCTAGTACCACCAAAAAGAAAAAGAAAAAAGAAAAATGAAGTTGGCAAAAAAAAAAAAAAGTTGCAAACTTATTCAACCTAGCTGGTTAGGCAAGAAATTGGAACTAATAGAAGACTGTGCATGTCTCCTTTCCAAAAGTAAAATAGTGTCCTGACAGTACTTAAAGCGGTTAGAACACTGCCGTTCTTGTTTTTAACTTGAGTTTGTTAAGAAAAGCCTATTGCATAGTTTTAAGCGTTGGCATTATGTTGAAATAGGAGCCGCGGGGCTGCGTCCCCAACACCCAGGCCGCTTGGCTAGCTCATGCCCGAAATAACAACACACAAACTGTATTCATTTAAGAACTGCTTGGCCCATGAACTCTAGCCCTTACAGGCTAATTCTCGCACCTGGACTAGCCCATTTCTAATGATGTGTGTAAGCACCCCAAGGTGCGCTTACCGGGAAGATTCTAGCCTCCGTTCATCCTGGTGTCTCTGCTCCAGAGGGCAGAGCTGTCGAGTCTCTCCGGAAGCAGAGCAGAGTCTGACCTCACTTCCTCTTCCGCCCAGAATTCTATTCTGTTTACTCCTCCCATCTATGTTCTAAGCTATGAGGCCAAGCAGTTGGTTTATTATAATTAACCAATGACCTTCCTCCATCAGCATTAGTGTGAAAGAGAATTGCTCAGGGAAGGCTGGGACACACCCCAGTGTAGGTGTGGGCGTCTCAAGAGGCAGCTACCTATAATGCTGTTTTTTTTTTTAAATAACCATTGCTTTTTTATTTACTTTGTGTGTGTGTGTGTGTGGTACATGTGAGTATACACAAGTGTTCACACCTGTGCATGTACATGTGGAATTCAAAGCATGATGCAAGTCAGGACCTCTCACAGAACTGAAAGCCCACTGTTTGGGCTATGCTGACTAGCCAGGAAGCATTTAGGATCCAAGTTCCTCCATCCTCCAATGCTAGGGTACAAGTGCATGAAATCACATGAAGCCTTTGTTTCGTTTTTGTTCTTTGTTTTTGAGACAGGGTCTGGGTCTCTATGTGTAGCTATATAGACCAGGCTAGCCTCGAACTCACAGAGATCCGCCTGCCTCTGCCGCCAGAGTGCTGGGATCAAATGTGTGCGCCACTGCTCCTGGCACGCCCAGATTTTTATCTGAGTGCTGGAGATAAACTCAAGTCCTCGTGTTTACAGAGTAGTTAGTCACTCTTCCACTTAGCCCATCTTCTCAGTCCCTCAATGTCTTTTTGTAAAGAAAGATTTACAGTTGCTGAGAGTCTAAGTCAATGGTAGATCACTTGCTTGGTATCCATGGAGCCCTGAGTTCAATACCCAGAGTACACAGAAAAAAAAATTTTAAACTTACTCAGGGATCAACATCATGCTCCTGAAATCCTCATGCTAGGAGGTGGAGACAAGAGTCCCTGGCTTTTTTTTTTTTAACTAGCCAAGCTGGAAGAATCAGCAAGGGGCTGGAGAGATGTCTCAGAGGTTACAAGACTGGCTGCTCTCTTGTGGAGGTCCTGAGTTCAGTTTCCAACAACCACATAGTGACTCACAACCATTGGCAATGAGATCTGGTGCCCTTTTCTGGCACTCAGGCAGAACACTGTATACATAGTAAATAAATAAATCTTTAAAAACAATCAGAACCGAGTGGTGGTGGTGCATGCCTTTAATCCCAGCCCTCGGGGGCAGAGGCAGGTGGATCTCTGTGAGGATATATCCAGGGCTATACAGAGTAACCTTGTCTCAAAGAAACAAAAAAAAAAAAAAGGAAAAGAAATTTGATAAAAGTCATACTTTCATTTTTTCAAGTATAAGTTTTGTTATTTTCAGACTTGTAAACTAAAAAGCATGAGTTTACAAGCTAAAACAATAGTGATGATAATAATTAAAGCTACAAAGTACACAATAAATTTGGGATAACATTTGAGCTTCAAAAATAATAGAATGTGAAATTTTTCAAAGTATAAGCACACCTCATTCATACCTGTGCTTTTAGAAATGGCTGAATGAATCTGGCCTGTGGGCCATTGCTCGAGGCAGTGGGGACTACCAGTGTCAGCAGTGAATTGGAGCCTTGGGGGAGAGAAACCAGAGTTACAGGGTGACAAGAAGTATCATAGGAGATCCATGGCATCAAGTTGGGTCTCCCAGCAGAAGCCTTGGCCTGAACCAAGTCCCAGAATAAAGATGTATGCCATCTCAGAAGGTGGTGAAGCTCTTGGCGTATTGAGCAGAGACCCCGAAGGAGCTTTAGAAGTCTTCCACAGCATCCCACTCTGGGTTCAGCGATGTGGAAGAGGATGTTAGGTGGCTTGCCACCCACATCTGGGCTTTCTTCATTTCATTTTCACCCCTCTCACTGGCTTGGGCCAATCAGAGAGTATTTCAGAACCTTTAGTCATCAGTGGGCAGGCAGGGTATGTTTGTCTATTTTATGTACAAAAACAAAACAAAACAAAACAAACCAACAACAACTATGTTCCAAGTTTGTGGGCCAGGTCGCTCTGTGCTATCATGAAGACAGACTAGGAGAAAGGAGGCAAGAAGGGAGTTAATGGACACCCAAGAAGGAGGGCTCCTGTAGGGATTGCTATCAAAGGTTCGCTAGCTGAAGCTAGGCCTGGCATCCTACACTGGTTGCTTTTCACTTTCTCAAAGCTCCAGGTAGCTCCGGTTCTATCTTGTTGGAGAACGGCTAGGGTAAGGGCTTGTGACCAGGAAGCATCAGTACCATCAGTGAGTGTTTTGGAAACAAAATCTCCCACACCTCCAGGCCCTGCTGGATCAGTGCCACCTTTTTAACAGGACCCCAGGGGAAGTTTTACTTTGAGACACGTGAGGCTTGGATTGCTGAATAGACCTTTAGAACAAGGCTCCAGGCTCAAAGAAACTTCAGCTGCTCAGCATCTCTGTGTGCTCTGACAAGGACATAGAGAGTCCAGTCAAATAGGTACTCTCTGTAAGAAAATGGGTCCTTAGTAATACCACTTTTGGGCATATATCCAAAGGATGCTTAATCATGCTATAAGGACATGTGTTCAACTATGTACATAGCAGCTTTGTTTGTCATAGCCATAACCTGGAAACAACCTAAATGCCCTTCGACCGAAGAATGGATTAGGAAAATGTGGTACATTGACACAATGGAGTACTATACATCAGAAAAAAATAATGGCATCTTGAATTTTGCAGGCAAATGGATAGAGCTAGAAAACATCATTTTGAGTGAGGTAACCCACACCCACTCATAAGTGGTTTTTAAACATAAAGCGAAGAAAACCAGCCTACAATTCACAATCCCAGAGAACCTAGATAACAATGAGGACCCTAAGAAAGACATACATAGATCTAATCTTCATGGGAAATAGAAAAAGACAAGATCTCCTGAGTAAATTTGGAGCATGGGGACCATGGGAGAGGGTTGAAGGTGAGGGGAGAGGCAGAGAGAGGAGTAGAGAAAAATGTATAGCTCAATAAAAATCAATAAAATTAAAAAAAATGGATCCTCAGCCTGGAGCAACAAAGAAATCTTGAAGAGTGACGAGACCAGACCAAAGCTGAAGGCCAACTGTAGTAAGCCCGGTCATCCCTCTCATAGATAGGGAGCCTCCTAGGCTTCCTGGGCCTGCCATCTAGATTTCTTGCCTTAGCCAGTCACATCCTGAATCATAAACGCTCAGATCTCTCACTTCCTTCATCCCACTCAGCTTCCAGATCGGATGACAAAACCTCAGTCTCCCTGCTCCACAGCCTCTGGTGTCCAGTGTGCACCCATGGTAACTGGTCTAGGAAGCTCTACTGGAAAGCCTTCCCCTGCCTAGATGCACCTTAGCGTTGGCTTCTTCTGACTGTGAGTGACCTGGGTAGGACCACCCAGGTCCTAATAACCCATCTCCAGCACACAAACCCACTTTCTAGGCTCCATAATCTCCCTTCTCCGCTGGTTCTAGGCCTAACTTTAGACCTGCTGCCTCAGGCAGGTCACTGAGTTTTCATTATATTCCTGCCCTCAACTTTATCAGTAGTCCTTTTGAGGATAAATCTACCCATGGTGCTTTGAATGAGAACGGCCCCCATAAGCTCATATATTTGAATATTTGGTTCACAGCTGGTAGACTGTTTAGGGAAAATTAGAAGGCGTGGGCTTGTTGGAGGTATGTTTTTGGGGGGTGGGGTTGCAAAAGCCTACACCAGGCCAAGTCTGTCTCTGTTTCTCTCTTTCTGTCTCTCTCTCTGCCAAGTACTTGTGGATCAGAGTGTCAGCTCTCAGCTATGGCTTCAGCGCCGTGCCTTCCAGCCAGGGATCATAGACTCACCCTCTGAAACTGTAAGCAAGCCCCCCAGTTAAACGTGTTCCTGTCTAAGTTGCCTTGGTAATGGTGTCTCTTCATAGCATAACTAAGAACATAGAACAGTAACTAAGACACTGTCTCACGTCTTAACTTGAGTGGGATCCTGGTTGATACAGCTAGGCATGGTAACATCATGGAAGGGAGATATTACCCCAACTCTCAATGGTACCAATAGGGTTGACTTGCCAGAATCCGGCCTTGGATTACATTTACCACACGTACCACAAGGAGCTGCCTCCTTCAAAGAGATGAATATGGGGTGGGTGGGGACATTCCTACCTATCAGCTGGCCACAGGAAAAGAAGGAAACACCCATCCGGGCAGAGCAGAGTGGAGCAAAAGCCGAAGCCCCCTGGTGTGCATCGTACAGCAAGAGTTCCATAAAAATGAGGAGCAAGGTTCAGTGACCCGCACATTTTCTCCCAGTTCTGAAACTGTGAGGCTACTAACAGCTCCTCTTTCTTCTGCACCCTCCTATAGACTGGGGGGGGGGGTGTTTGAGGGGAAAGGGGAACTAGCTACCTGGTGGTAAATGTGTTGATTAGGAAGAGGAAAGATTGGCACTTTCCTCGGTGCCTCATTTTCACCTGGCTAAGGGTGACTGACCTTGAGGGTGCAGCCGGGTGGGGGTTGGGACAGAACCTAGGGATGGTGCCAGCTCAGAGGTTCAGAAAAGCCAACATGCCGATTTCCTAGAGCTGCTTAGCCTGGAAACCAGATCCTCAAACCGAGAGTAAGGAAGCCTGCCACACACTAGAGATCTGAGCAGGATGTGAAAATCCCAGTCCCGGACCACAGGAAGTTTAGCTCACACAAGGTAAGGTTACTTCAGAGGTAAAGGGTAGTGGGGTGTTGTGGGATACTGGTCCGAAGGGCCTGGGTGGAGCTTTGGAGAGTTCCTGTAGAGTATGCCAATGAAGGTGTCCCGGGTTTTAGACAACAGGGATTTCCTAGGCTGGCCCTTGAGGTAGGGATGGAAGAGGGTGAATTGAGGGGGGGGGGGTGGCCCATGAGGCAGGGGTTCAAGGATTTGCTCCAAGCCTCTGATCAGAGAGAAAGAGACCAGGATTACTGGTCGTCTATTCCTCACTGAGCTCTTCTCTCTGTAGTGAGGCACGCAGCCGTAAACCAGAGCAACAGGTCCGTCTCCACTCTCCAGAGCTCAAAGCTGCTCTTCCTGTTGCTGCCAGGACAACTGACTTGGCAGCCCAGGTGTGGCTGAGTCAGCAGGCCCTGAGGTTCCAGTGGCCTGGATCTGCGGAACTGGGGTTGGCTGAGTGCCTGATCTGAGAGCCAGTTCCTTTGTGCGACAGGCGGGCGCCGTCTCTCCCTCTCAGCCAGGTCAAGCCGCCTGTTCTGGAAGGCTTTGCAGCAAAGAACACAGACTTGAGTTAGACCCACTCTTTCGGTTTGCCCAGGACTGGCTTGGTTTTATCGCTATCCTTGGAAACGTCTGTGGTATAAAATGATGAGGTCTGAGGACTGAGAGCCTTGACAGGAGTGAGGAGTGGCCGTGTGCAGAGCGAGCAAGCGATGGTGCCAAGATGAAGCTTCATCATCCCTGCAAATGGGGCCAAGTTGGTGTTTGTGTCTAGCTCCTCTGAAGGACCACATGGCTAGGCATTTCGGAAGCGATTAATTAGCGGCATCTCTGACCTAAATACCTCCGATTCTGGCTTGTTACTCGTCTTCATCTATGAGGAAATACATCTAAGGAAAATATTGAGATTAAATAGTATAGGCAGGATACAGGATCATACCTGTAACCTCAGTCCCAAGGGAAGCCAAGGTAAGAGGATTGTGAGTTTCGTGCCAGCCTGGAGCAAATAGTAAGACCTTGCATAAACAAACAAACAAACAAATAGAGAACACTGTCTCGTGACTTAGTATCCAAGACATGCTAGGGTCTCAGTAAATATTTACTAAACTGCACATGAAGAGTCAGGGTAGTCTCTGCAGAGACAAGGAGCCAATGGGGCAGAATGAAATGGACGGGTCTGAGAATTTTGAAAGGCATTAAGTCAAAACTAGAGGAGCAGAACAGGCAGTGTAGGAAATCGGATTTCTAACCATCCAATGGAATCATTCAGGCACACCACAACCACCTTTGCAACATAGTATTGGTATCTTTCCCATCAAAGCTCTGTTGGTCTTGGGGGGTCTCCTTTCAACTGAACTGGTCACTGGTCCAGAGCTCAAATTTCTCTAGTAATTTTTTTCTGACTCTTCCAAAAGGCTGGCCACTGGGCTGGGCAGTAGCCGCACAAGTCAAGAGGTGATGTGGGAATGATTTCTTACTAATAAAGAAACTGCCTTGGCCCATTTTATTGGATAGAAAATTAGGTAGGCGGAGTATACAGAAGAGAATTCTGGGAGAAAGAAGGTTAGAGGAAGAGTTGCCATGATTCTCCCGCTCCAGACAGACGCAGGTTAAGATCCTCTCTGGTAAGCCAACTCATGGGCTACAAAGAATATTAGAAATGGGTTAGAACAATATGTAAGAGCTAGCCAATAAGAAACTGGACCTAGCCGAGCCAGGCAGTGTTTGAAAGAATACGGTTTCCGTGTAATTATTTCTGGGTATAAACTAGCCATGCGGGCGGCCAGGTGCCGGGGACGCAGCCCTGCCGCTCCTATTTCAACAAAGAGGAACAGGACATTCGTACATGGGTGTGGGGGAAATTTGGACTGCACATATGCGTGTGTATGTGTACACACAATCTCTTCCCTAACCCTCTGTCTGTGCAGAAGGCTAAATGTCAAGAGCAAAGCTTCCTGAAGGCCACAGAATGACCTTAAAGCTATAAATCAGGCTCTGTAGAGCAGCCAGAAGGATGCCATACCCTAGAAGGCGTGGGCCCACCCTGTGGCTCCTCCTTGAGTCCTTTGCACCTGCTCCCTCGTTCACCTGCAGGCTCTGGGCTTGTCTCCAGACGTGAATGCTGAATGCCCCTGGCATGTGTGTGCTCCACTTGGCGCTCAGCCCTCCTGTGCTGGCAGCTGACTCCTATGACTCACTCTCAACTCCACCCTCTCCTGCCCTCCTGACTTTGATGCCTACCAACTCATTAAAATTTATATGCAACACTTCCTCTGTGCAGGCAATGAGCCGGGTGCCGGGGCTCTATTGGTAAACAAGTCAAGGGCCTATGGCACTGAGTATGGGGGAAGAGGAGACAATCACCAGTCAATTACATGCAGCCTGATAAGTGCCTGGGTGGCATAAGTGGCTGTAAGGTTGGGTAGAGATTTGAGACTGCAGATTAGCAGGGAGGATGTAGCACTGCCTCTCAGTTGTAGGTTGTGCTGTGAATGATGGCCACCATCTCTTTGTCCACATATCTCTATCATCCATCCACCTATCTATCCATTTTCTCCTCCAACAAACCATTGAAACCCCTGTTGTATACTGGGCATGCTGCCCAGTTCTGGAAGTATAGTACAAAGGATAGGCTCCTCTGTCGTATCAAACTTTTGACTTCCCAGACGTGTCCTGCTTCTTCCTACCTGACAACATCTATACTCACTGTTTCTTTTGTTCAGAAGATCTTAGCTCTGCCCACCTAGGTCAAGTGATCTCCTCCATCATTTGACCCTCCTCAAAGGTCATCTCTTTAGGATTGGCTTCCCTGGCCTCTTCACGAATGCGGGGCCCCATTGTGATGCTCTCACGGCACCCTGTAATTTTCTTTCATAGCATCTTTGATTATGTATTTATTAGAGGAACTGTTTTATTAGTGTTTATCATGTCTGCCAGGGATTCATTTATTATAGCAGTTATGCTGTCTGGCACAATAACATAAGGTGAAATGGTAGATGAATGGATGATAGGGTTGCTGGGTGGTGGTTGGCTGGCTGAGTAGAAAGATGGTTGTGTGTAGATGCATGGATGGATGACCGGGTGGGTGGAGAGATGATGGATGTCTGAATGTCTGGACTAGAACTGAGGCAGAACGAAGGCCAGTTAATAGACTGATCTAGAATCATGGCAGAGTTAGTTAAGGGTTGGTGAACAGGCCACAGTGGGAAGGAAGGAGGGAAAGCCAAGGAAGGGTTGGCTGGAGACTGTCTGTCGGATTTGGTCAGTGGTTGCATGATAGGGGCTGCTTCAGGAGTGAAGCCGAGGAAAGAAGGAGTGACAGGTAATATTCAGGGTTCTGGCTGTGGCAAGGAGATTGACAATAAGAGAGAATAATCTGAAGGTACAGGATAAAAAAGATTCCGCAGTGACCTTGAAGTCTCTGTTGGAGCAAAGAAGTGGGAATTCAAATTGTTTTTGGCTTGACTTTCTTTTGTTTCTGTGGTCCCCATGATGGTCTAACCGTCAGTGTGTGGGGTGAGCACATATTCTGACGTGATGGCTTCATGGTCCCTGACTCCTCCATATGTTATTACTGTAGCATTGTAGCCCCCAAATGCATCTAGCATCTAATCCCTCCCCTGAACTGATGTGCCAGAGCCGTAAACATTTGAAACTCTCAAATTTCCAAGGCTTGGGCGTCTGGCTTCTCCTGTGCTGTTTAGTTGCTTTGCCTTCTGACTTTGGTTTGGAAACCACGGCATGAAGAATCAGCTGGCTCGAAGAATGCAGTCAGCCGAGGGAGGCAGCAGCAGTGCCCTCCACAGCCAGGAGAGGCGGAAGTGGTAACTGCATGGGCTGCAGCATATCATGTCAGGGGTGCTAGTACTTTTATACTACTGGTTCCAGCTCCGTGGAGTGGTCTTAGACATTGCACTTTGCTGTTCATGATTGTCTCTCATGATTGTCTCTCAGGTTCTGTGAACTTCTTAATATATACTTTTACAACAGTCTCTTTCTCTTGTACAAACTCATCAGGTCTCTCTACTGCATTTAACCAGGCACTTGGTCCCATATAGACCTTCAAGTTTAGGTCACACTTGGATTGACAGGAGCAGGGTTTAGGAGATCTAGGCCACAGCGATCATGGAGGAGACCGACACTAAGGGAGTAGGTAAGATTTGTTGAGCAAGTTTTTCTCATGCAAAGCAGGAGGCAAGGTGGATAGAGAGGAACTATCTACATGGAACACGTATGATGTATGCAGACCTCTAGTTCCAGCCAGTGTTGGCCCTGCATGAACTTGAATGTCTGGGAAACCAACTCCTAGTCCAACAAAGGAAGCCCCTTGCTTCTCCAGGTCACATTCTTCTGGGGCTGCTATCCTGTTGCTTCTTCAATGAACTGGCCTTGTGTTTTTAAGGTGGCTGCAGATGACATCTGACATTATGATGATGGCCACAACACCTACCTGTTGAGAAGAGTCGTGCCAAATCTGTGACATCAGCGACATCCTACTTACTAATCAATGCCCTGCCGCCAACAGCCTTTCATAATTGCAACAGGCATTTCTGTTCAACAACTGCTTCTTCTCAGTGAACCAGAATCCTTCTCAACCCAGTTTGTAAACAGTTCTGGTAACTTCATGACGATCAACTCGTGAGATGTTGCCCTGGTCTTAATAGATCATGAGTTAGCTCCTGAAGTATATCCTACTTACTAGCCTGGGCCCTCCTGTGTCAATTATCAATCAAGAAAATGCCCCATGGTTGTCCCTACAAGTCAGTCTGATGGATACAATTCTCAGTTAAGGTTTCTTCTTCCCCAGTGTGTCAGGTTGACAACAAAGATTAGTTATGACAATTTAGAATTCTCCTACCACGGCTTACTTGGTCACTAGGATTCCAGGTTTAGCTTAACCAAAATTTCAGTGTGTTGCCTTTGCTTTTCCTGCTAGTTTTATGCAAAAATAGTCTTTCTTCAGTATTCTTAGGGGCTTGGGGTTGAGATCCCTGAAGTTGGCCAAATCTGGAGATTCTCAGTCCCTTCTATAAAACTGCATTGTGTTTGCGTTTGGCCTATACATATCCCCCTCTATCCTGGAGCTTATCCCTAGGTTACTTGTAATACTAGATATGATGTAATTGCTTTGTAAATAGCTGCTATGTTGTAATTTAGAGAAAAATAGCAAAATAAGAAACCTGTAAATGTTTCTACTTTTATTTATTTTAATTAATTGAGATAGGACCTTGCTATGTAGCCCGGACTGGCCACTCACAGTAATCCTCTTGCTTCAGCCTCCTCAGTACAGGGATTATGGGCATATATCACCATACCAGACTTATGCATTTTTCCTATTATTTTAAGTCTGTTGTTGACTGAATCAGTAGATGTAGAATCCACAGACATGGAGGGTGGACTGTGTTTGATAGTGGGATTGTTTTAGGAATGGAGAAAAGGAAAATCTCCAGGAGGTAAGTGAATGAGTTATCAAAATTACCCATGTGAGTAATTTATCAGAGAGATAGGACTTGGACTCAGGCCTCTTGCTTATAAATCCAAGGTCTTTATCTCTGCCAGTAAGATATTCTGCACCCATGTGTCCTAGAGATTACAAGAGCTCCTTAATGAATTTCAAGGAACAGAAGAAGCCAGACCAGTTGCCGAATCTCCCGAGCTGGCTGTGTGAGAAGAGTGGTTCCCGTAGCTGGGGACTGTCGTGCTATAGGTTAAGTAGGTGAACCTCAAAATCTCTCACTGGATTAGGACAGATGTCTTGTGCTATAGCCTAAGAAGCCAGGAGCGTACGCTCATAGGCGACTAAGCACAGTGACCCTTCAGCATCCCTCCAAAGGGCCTTGAGCCCCTGAGAAGTTGGACTGTGGGAGGCAGTGCCATGGAATTCTGTTGTTGTTTTTTTACTCTAACCAAGAACAACTTTGTCAGAGTTTTAAAAGAAAGATCCCAGGCTGTAAATCTCAGCAGCCACCTAGAGAAGGAGGAGACTAGAAGAAAGAGAAAAAAATGTCATGCTTGTGCTCAGCTGCAAATAGGACATTTATCTAATCCCCACTCCCCCAGCAAGGCTCAGGGAGCATCTTGGGAGGGAGAACAGAACAATCGTACTAGCCAGAGGTCAGGGAGGGCCATACTGTGTCATTTAAACATGGAAGGGCTTCTGCACTCATGAACCCAGAGTGGCTGTGGTTGCCTGCACAAGCCCAGTCAGCATTTTAGATCCTGATCCCTGCTCCCCAGCCACCAACTGTCAGGAGTTCTTCAGTTTTCTTTAAGGGCGTGGTCACAGGTAGACCAGTTGTCCTCCAGTGGCTAGCCCCAAACTCATAAGTCTATGAGCACCAAAGAACTTGGTGGCTTATAAAAGAAGTTAGGGCCTGGTGGTGATACATCCTGAATGGGTTCTTTTTCCCACTAGTTGAAGAATTGAAAGGCAGGAAAAATCTGGAGCAAAACAGGTGGCAGCAGAGAAGTCTCAAAGACCACAGGCAGAATTAACACTTAAAGAAAGATGTTTATTGGGGGTGAGGAAACATAGGCATGCAGTGGACACTCAGGGGAAAGACCCTCTATAAAGGCAGGGTGGGGCTGGGGAGTGGGGTTGGCAGGCCTCAGAAATCCAGTCATTTCTCAAGGCCTAGGGGTTTTAAAGTCTTTGAAGAATTTTTCTCCCTTAATTTAGGGTTGGTCATTTTGGAGAAAGCTGGATTGGCTGTATAGCCAAGAACTGTTTTGTGACGTGTTCTGAGAAGGCCTTGAACTTGTTGAGCAGTCCATCAGCAGAGGGCCTGCTGGCGGGAGACAGAAGCCTGCAAAGCCTTTGTTTTAAGCTATTCAGTCATAGTCTCAAGTCAGAAGGGTGAGAAAGAAGCTAGAAAGTTTGTACAATTACCAGCTTTAGTACCTGGCCATGGGCCCCACTTCCTGTCTGTCTGCCGCCTAGGGGCTTTGTCTAACTTCTTGTGTCTTAGTAAGGTGGGAAAATGGTCTACAATGCCTCATGGGAAGAGTTGAGGGAGGAGTCAGAGGGGATTAGGATCAAAACACACTGTCTGAAATTCTCAAGGGATTAATAAAGTTAATAGATAACACATAAATAAAATAAAGTAATATTAAGGAAGACGTGCGGGGGGGGGGGGGAGAAACCATGCTAAGTTAAGCCTCATGGAGGTCAGCGAGCCACATGGTGGACAAGCATCCCACGGAAGGGAGGGGAGCTTCAGAGAACCACTTAGCCCCAAATGCCAAAGAGAGCACACTTAGAACAAAGACGGAAGTAAGGAAATCCCACACTTTTCAGAAAAGTGAACACACTTATGAAGCCTCTTGGCTGCGGCTCTGTAAGCTATTGCTATGGAGTTTGGGAGACAGAAAAAGCTTCAGCAATTCACAATGCTCAAAACACAAGCAAATATAAACAAGTTAGGTATGGTGGCTCACGCCTTTAATTCCAGCGCTTGGGAGGGAGGCAGAGGCAGACAGAGCTCTGTGAGTTCCAGGCCAGCCTGGTCTATGTACCAATTCCAGGCCTGATAGACCTATGTAGTGATAGCCTGTCTTAAAAAAAAAAAAAAATGTTCTGGTCTTCTAGGGACCAGTGAAAATAGAGGAAATGAGGACATAATAGATTGGTACATTTCCCTTCTATTCTAAGAGGTGATAGTTACAAATAGTATTTTCCAGATTCCTGTGTGCCTAGAGAAGACATGAATTACTTTCCACAAATCTTGTGTGTGTGTTTTATTTATTTTGCACGTAATAATGAAAATAATGAATTTGGGAGAGAGAGAGAGAGAGAGAGAGAGAGAGAGAGAGAGAGAGAGAGAGAGAGAGGCTGCAGAACTGGAAGTTGCTTCTGGATTCTTGACTTGGGAGATGTCTTCCTGGAGGTGACTGGAGTAGCGTCTTCCTGCTTCTGAAGCTTCCTGGCAGCACAGAAGCAGGAGGGGACTTGAATGCACAGGTCTCTATTGTGGTTTGGAGAGTCCTGGAAGGTTCCTCCAGTGTCGCTTCCTTTGTGCCTCCAGCAGTTCTGTGAGCCGTCTTTAACCCTTAATAGATACTTTTCTGTTTACACTTGCTGGGGTGGATCCTGTGGTCTGCAGTTGAGAAATCTGACTAATACCTCACGTCTGTAGCTGGGCTCTTCCTGGTTACTCACAGGGTGGTGGAAGTTGGCTTGCTGCCCTCTACTGGGATGGGGACAGACCACGATTCTGACACTAAGCGCTACTCAGTCTTCGGACACAGGCAGAAGTCCAGCTGCTGGGAGCTAACTGGATCTTATGGGTGGATCTTAACTGTTCCTAATAACCTTGGAAGAAAGGAAAAAGGAGGGGCGACCTGTCTACTTTACTCCTGGAAAATTGAGAGCTGCATTTGAACACCTCTCTTACTATTGTTGATCCAATTGCTGGCGAATTAGGTCGTTATGATAAGTAACCAGGCTAGCTCAAGAGTAACAGGAATACTTTAATGGTTGAAGAGGAGAAACTTACACTATAAGAATGGGAGCTCCGAAATCCGGTAGGTCCAGCAGGCACCGCGCAGAGGGAGCGTGCATAGGCATCTCCCGATTTTTCTGCTTTTGCTCCAGGTGGCCACACCCTAACCAGATTTGATTGGTTGAGCTTCCCCACCACCCAAAGGCTGTTGTCTCTGATGCCAAGTTCTTTGGTTGGGTACAGTTGTGTATAAGTGTATAACACACACGCACACACGGAATGTTATAACTTAATCCCTGAGTCTCACCCCTTGTACTTATTAGTCACATTTCTTGTTTTCTATGTTCAGAAAATTAGACATTCTGAAGCTTTGCTGGACTTGGCATGATTGCCCTCTCAGTTATATAAGTACAACCCCGCCGATCCAGAACCTAGATCTTCAACCCCCTCCTTTCCTGGCCTCTTCACTGCCATACCTACTCCAAGACCAGGTGCTTCTCATAGGAGCCAATACAAGGGCAGGAAAATCAGAACTGTAATTGAAGAATTTCTGTGAACTCTGAGTAGACGGGTCTAGTGGCTAACACGGTTGGAGTCGATCACAGGGGATACCTATACCCCTGGATATTTACTCAACTTGATTAAAAATGTCAACACAAAACTCTTCGCATTTGGCCTGGGGTGTAGCAGGGTGCTCGCCCACCATTTGTGAGGGTGTGGCTTTGATATCCAGCACCGTGAAAAAGAAAGCAACCCCCCCCAAGCAATAACAAAACAAACCACAAAAACCGGCTCATGAGTATCTGCAGCTTTATTCATATTTCCAACAACCAAGATACGTTTTTATAGAAGTGATGGCTCACTGTCATTGTCTACTTGGTAGCACTTAGAATCTTCTAGGAGACACACCCCTGAGAATTTCGATGGAGGTGTGTCCAGAAGGGTTTAACTAAGGCGGGAACACCCACTCTGAATGTGGGCAGCACCTCTCCCCTGCCACACCACAAGGTTTCTCTCTGTAGCTTTGTAGCCTATCCTGGAACTTGCTCTGTAGTCCAGGCTGGCCTCGAACTCACTGAGATCCACCTGCCTCCGCCTCCCAAGTGGCTGGGATTAAAGGTATGCGCCACCACTGCCCAGCTGGGCAGCACCTATTCATGGGCTCATCCCCAGGCTGAATTAAGGGGAGGAAACCCCAGGAGAGCTGCATTTACACTTTCTCCCTTCCAGACTGCAGGCACAATAACCGACTGTGTCATACTCCTGCCATCAGGGATATGAGGTGGGAAAGCCAAAGGAAACCCATCTCTCCCTCAGAGAGCCAAAATAAAGCCCTCTATAAAATGCTTTTTGAGTTATTTTGTCCCAGCAACAAGAACAAGTAAAGTAAATTGGTAAATGTAACAGTAAATGGATAAGCAATGTAACCATCGCACATCTAGGCAGGTTGGCACTTTAGCTATTAAAAAAGAGACCTGCGAGCTGATGAGAAGACGAGGCAACTTAACTCTAAGTGAGAGTCGAAAGACTCCTATATGCGTAGTGCGCAGACTATGATTTCAGCTGTATGATGCCCTGGGAAGGGAAACCATGCATCAGTGGCTGCTGGCGGATTGGGCTGGATAGAGAAAGATAAGAGAATGAAGCCCAGAGGGATGTCAGAGCCGCGGAAAAAGCTCTGATACCATCACGGTCTAGGTACACGCCACTGTACATTTG